GGGTGTGCCTTATCAACTATATAGTCAAGGATCAACAATGGGATGAGATTAAAAAACTCCCTTCTATAAAACGAAGCCGAGATGTTAATGCGGTCGTGAAAGATCTGTCTCTCGGGGATGTATCGATGGGTGAATACCTCATAACGAGGTACGCGCTATGGCTCGACATGCGAACCACAGACAATGACCAACTACACGTTAGTGGGCGGAGAATAGAAAATGCCAGCGAGGGTGTTACTATGCAGATAACGAAGCTCCAGGAATCCGATGGTAAATTAAATATATATTTGTACGTTATTATGGACGCGCAACTTAATATACAGAATGGACGTTTCTTGCAAGCAATCTATTAATAATCTTTTACCTAAAGAACCGCACTGCGCTATCATTTGCGGGCAAACAGGTTGTGGAAAAACAGCTTTTATTCTAGATATTTTACAAAGTCATTATCGGGATGTTTTCGACCATATTATTTTTCTGTGCCCGACTATAAGCGTTAATAAAACATACCTATCGAGAGATTGGGTAATGAATGATACCGGGGTACACAGAGTTGATCCAGGTGATCGTTTACAAGACTGTTTACGAGTATGGCACAAAAAATACAAAGGAGAATCAACCCTTTTCATAAGAGACCACTGCAGCGCAAGTAAAGAACTTACTAAAAAGAAAGATATGCTTTCATATTTAGCATTCTCCGGTCGGCATATGGAGCATAGCGTTTGGGTACTTACTCAAAAATACAACTCTGTCCTGAAAGATCTGAGAGAGCAGACCAAATAGGTAGCCCTGTTTCATTGCAAAGACCGAGATTCATTCAAGGAATGTTTACGCGAAAATGATGTTATTTATACCAAGCTCGAACGAGATAAAGTCAGAAAACTGTTAGCAGAAACGAAGCATTGTAAGCATCCTATTAAAAACCGATCAACCAGCTGCTTATACAATTGCTTAGCAAAAAAAGCAAAAATATAGCAAAAATATCAACTGCTAAGCAAAAATATAGCAAATATAGCAATAAATATAGCAAAAATACGATAAATTGAACATAGGTGGTTATTATGTAATAATGTGGTTTGAAATCCTCATTCTTTCGCAACAGTTTATTATTTCGGGTTGTATTGGATATGCAATATTTTATTATGTTAGACTTAAATATCTCCTTCGGTGTTACATTATGGAATGCGACGAACTTATCGAACAACTACTCCAAGATGAGTCAGAACCTATGGCAGATAAACCTTTAGAAAAACATAGAGAAAGACTCGCTGCTTTGGTAACCGGTGGAAAATGTTCCCAATATTTGGGGGGAAATTATTCCACCGAAAAAATTGATAACATGACCGATGAAGAAATTAAAAAACTGTACGCGCGTTACGAGTCTAGACTGGGAGCTACCATGACTAAAACAACATAGTCGGCTATGTTACAACTATACACAGTCGTAGCTAGTACGTTTCTTCCTATCCCGGCAGAAAATCGCCCGTATTTATGCGAATGTCTCGAGAAAGACCCATTCATTAAAAATGCTATAAGCGCAGTAAGCTGTGAGTTTTATCAAAGATACGGAATGTTCTTAGCGCCACGTACCACAGCTTTGATAACAGCAGAGTTAGAGGATTTAAATAGTATAAAATAACAGCTGACGGTTAAAATGTCATTGAGTAAAAATGACACCGAATATACCGAACCTTATTTCCGAGGCAAGCAAGAAGTTATAACCCAATCCGATACTATAAACGCATCATTAGATACATCAATTCAGAAGATACAAGAAACTTTAGAATGCTGGACTAATAGAGGTTCGGGTTGGGGTGTGAATAAAATCGATAGTTTTATATTCTCGTTGACTAAAACTATACATTATACGGACAAGGATGGGAAAGCCAGAATAAAGCAAAGTAACGGACTTAGATTCATAGACTCCGTACAGTTTCTGTTAGCTTCCCTGGACAATTTAGCTCATGCGAACAATCCCAATGACTTTGCAATAACAAATCAATATACCGATCGGTTAACACGTCATTTGTTGTTGAGAAAAGGTGTATATCCTTACGAATATATGGATGTTTGGTCTAGATTCGACGAAACTAAATTACCACCCCTTGAATCATTCTATAGTAACTTAACGGAATCTAAAATGACTGATGCCGATTATGAACACGCTCTGACGGTGTGGGATAAATTAGGTTGTAAGAATTTAGGCGATTATCACGATCTGTACTTAAAAACTGATGTACTGTTACTTGCCGATATATTCGAGATATTTCGAAAGACATGTTTAAAACAATGTGGCTTGGATCCAGCATGGTACTATTCCAGCCCCGGACTGTCGTGGGATGCATTGTTAAAGAAGACCGGTGTAGAACTAAAACTACTCACCGATTACGATATGCACTTGTTTATTGAGAAAGGATTAAGAGGTGGTATATCGATGGTAGCGAAAAGGTATTCTAAGGCTAATAATAAATTAGTGGAAAGATATGATCGGAGTAAACCCAATACGCGCATATTATATCTAGACGCCAACAATTTGTACGGATGGGCTATGAGTCAACCTTTACCCACGAGTGGTTTTGAGTGGGTCGATGTGAATGATATCGAAGTGAATGATATCCCCTCAGATTCCGATAAAGGGTACATACTAGAAGTTCACTTGGAAGATCCAAATTCGTTACATAAAGACCATAACAGTTATCCGCTTGCTCCCGAAAGATTAATGGTGAATAAAGATTGGATGTCGTAATATCAACACTCCTTGATGGGTAATACTAGGTAAGCTAACGTAGAAAACTTGTACCAAATTTGATGGATAAGACAAAATATATAGTTCACTACAGAAATCTCCAGTTATATCTATTGTTAGGTATGAAACTAAAGAAAATACACAGAGTTCTAAAGTTTGATCAAAGCCCTTGGATGGAGCCCTATATAAGGTTGAACACAGATTTAAGAAAGATGGCTACCAGCGATTTTGAAAAGAATCTATATAAGCTCATGAGTGACTCAGTATTTGGTAAAATTATGGAGAATCTAAGGAAGCGTGTTGATGTTAAATTATTCAGATCTAATGAGGAAGAAAGACTCAGGAAACTTGTAGCCAGTCCGGCTTTTAACAGAAGCAAGATATTCGATAACGACTTAGCCGCGTTGCATATGCAGAAGAGTAATATAAAATTCAACAGACCGGTGTACGTTGGTATGAGTATTCTTGACTTGTCAAAACACTTAATGTATGACTTTTATTACAACGAACTTAAGAAGCAATACGGTGATAAATGCGAGGTGTTATATACCGACACAGATTCTTTGTTGATGGAAATACAAACCGTGGATGTGTATAAAGATATGGCAGAAAAAATAGATAAGTACGACACGAGCGATTACCCAAAAGATAATCCACTGCACAGCGTAGTAAATAAAAAGGTGTTAGGTAAGATGAAGGATGAATGTGCTGGGACCCCTATAGCGGAGTATGTCGGATTAAGACCTAAGATGTATTCTATAAAGAAGTCCGATAATGGGGAGATAAGAAAAGCTAAGGGTGTTAAGAAGTATGTGGTAAAAAAGCATATCAAACACGAACAGTATAAAGAAGCATTATTCAATGGTAGAACATTCAAACACGAAATGAACTCTTTAAGAAGTTACAATCACAGGATATATGGATTAAGAATGAACAAGACATCATTATCCCCCTTAGATACAAAGAGATGGATTGATAAGGATGGTGTAACTACCTATGCTTATGGTTACTTAGGGCGGTAAAACTGTATCGTTGGGAACTATGAGCAACTCTTCTCGTACAAATGCCCTGCCCAGTCCATCTTTAAGATAATAAAGAATAGGCTCTCCTTCTTTCATAACCAACCAACTAATGTTATATGTCTTGAGGGACGAAATTGGATCGGTTGCACGACGTAGGCCTACTTCGAGTTCACCGGGCTGGTATAAATATCTTACGCTTACTCTATCCGGAAGTTTTTGTTCTTTGCCTCTCCTTGGTGCTGAAGATTCTGAAGTCACGGATTTCATTTTAATCGCATCAGATGGTTTCTTCCCGATTAATCTCGTTACTTCATTATTCAGCGCTGATACAACAGCTGATAATCGTGTCACCCATTCGGTTGATCTCAATCGTTCCGATTTCATTTCGATCCCATACTGATAGCCAGAAAAACGATCCGCTAATGTCCGGTTAAATCTTTCAACGATAGCTTGACTACGGTGGGCCTCTTTTTCACCACGCCTGATTTCGACATCATGCTTTGTTAACAGTTTAGTTACTGATCCCATAAACTCGCGACCAGGATCTACTTGAAATAGCTTAGGCCACCTTTTAGTGGTCCGCGTTTATATATGCGGCTCAGTGCGATAGCTACTTCTGTTGAATCTTTCGAGGTTAATGGCTCAGCCTCTTTGTATCGACTAGCCACATCCACTACGGTTAAAGCGTATGTATACGTTTTGCGTCTTACCTTATCATGGGGAAGAAACAAGAGGTCAGCCTGATGAACTTCATTCGTTGTAAAAATATCAAACTTCTTCCTCGGTATATAATGCGGTGCTGGTAAGTATATTTGCCACATCGCTTGTTTCTTTAACCAATCCTTGGCTACATCTTTAGATACCTTAGCCGCAGTGGCTAATTTTTGTATTGCTCCTATACCTTTCCAATATCCTCGTGGGCTATAGTAAATTTTATTCATTATTAATTAATATTGATGTTTCTTTTAATACGAATCATGACGACCGTTGAATCACATCATCATTTTGACATAAAAAATTCCCTCTGTAGTGTCGGTATAGGTATATGAATCTGGCTCTAGTGGAAGTGAGCCAGAACCCCCATTACCTATACTACTCTTAATGTAATTACTGTCAGTATGACAGTGATCAGACACACAGCTTTGGCATCAAGCAACACATTTTACAGACAAATATGAACAATATGAAGATTCCATCTAAGAACATTGAAAAAAGACTACAATCACATCTTGTTGAATTTAGTCAATAAATTTATTCCTGATCAACCTTTTCCTGGCAGGACTTGTAGAGATTGTTTTCTGTGAGCACTATTGGGTAAAATAACATAACAAATCACACTTACAATAAAAAAGTATGTAGTTAGGATAAGAATTTATGGATGAACAACTTCTTTATTAAAAAAGTATTTACAGAAATAACACAAATGATATGAAAACCTGATTAAATCTTACACCTCCTTATTTGGTGTATGATAACAAGTGAGGCTGTACACCATCTTGAAGCTGAAGGTACCCATAATACCAGCATCACAAGTGAAGCTGTACACCATCTTGAAGCTGAAGGTACCCATAATACCAGCATCACAAGTGAAGCTGTACACCATCTTGAAGCTGAAGGTACCCATAATACCAGCATCACAAGTGAAGCTGTACACCATCTTGGAGCTGAAGGTACCCATAATACCAGCATCACAAATGAAGCTGTACACCATCTTGAAGCTGAAGGTACCCATAATACCAGCATCACAAGTGAAGCTGTACACCATCTTGGAGCTGAAGGTACCCATAATACCAGCATCACAAGTGAAGCTGTACATCATCTTGAAGCTGAAGGTACCCATAATACCAGCATCACAAGTGAAGCTGTACACCATCTTGGAGCTGATGGTACCCATAATACCAGCATCACAAGTGAAGCTGTACACCATCTTGAAGCTGAAGGTACCCATAATACCAGCATCACAAGTGAAGCTGTACACCATCTTGAAGCTGACGGTACCCATAATACCAGCATCACAAGTGAAGCTGTACACCATCTTGGAGCTGCAGGTACCCAAGATACCAGCATCACAAGTGAAGCTGTACATCATCTTGGAGCTGCAGGTACCCATAATACCAGCATCACAAGTGAAGCTGTACACCATCTTGAAGCTGCAGGTTGTTACTCAGCCACACAAGCCAGGGTTAATGAAAGCCAACCACTGATCAAGAAGAAATGTTCTTCTCATCATTGACCTGGAATACATTTGTATAATGTTGAGACAAACATTATGAACTACTGTGATCAATGCCTGTGTAGCCCTCCATTGTTGTTATCCTCTCCCACCACTGTGAAGACTTAGTAGTATGGACGCCTGGGGTTATTCTGCAAAATATAACACAAAGCATTAGATCAGCTTTTCCTGTCACAGGCTGTAGAGTTTCTAAAAATATATAACAACTTGAGGTGTTTGCAAGTACTTGCAAAAAGGGAAAGAGCCCTGTCACTTACATCTCTTCCAACCTTCTAAAGTCTATAATTACCATAATATATTACCTACGAGGGCAAACAGGGTTAACAAAAATCATATGTGCCCTAGGGTCATGTCACGTCACGAGACAACAGTGTATTGTTTCCGGCATCCGGATGGCATTGTTGATGTCATTCGAATCTTATTGTGACGTGAGGTCAGAATGACGTCACACTAGAAACGACGTCATACTTGAAGATTGTTGACGACATTCTTCATTGCGACTTGCTGTGCTCATAGACACTAAAATTTGTCTCTGTACGTAGACATCTTCCTCGGTAATAAATAGAACATTATATTCGTGTTCGTGTCATGCTATGTTCACAACACTCGTGCCTAACCTCTGGTATTTAGACACTTGTGTCGTAAACATGGTATGACATGAGCACTCATATAATATCCACTGTTTACTTCCAGCCCCAAAACATTACTTCCAGACTTTAATCATGACAATGTCTTAAACACACTTACCAAGTCTTAGGATTGTACAAGTAAGAGTGCAGCAATACCAGACAATGACTGATACAGCCACATTTCTCAATAACATCAGAGATGACAGTGACCTTTGATAGACATGGCAACAACATTTCATGCGGTAGGGTTTGTAAAAATACAAGCAAAAATAAAGTTTCATGCATGTTGAGGTAACAATGCCGCAGAATGATATAACCATGTCTTTCAAAACATGACACTGGACATTGTAGAAAAGGTATATCTCAAGTTTTATGATACATGCATTACCATATTCAACGTAATAGGCGCCCCGCTCTAATAAGCGCCCACGGCATATTTGCTAATATATTGGCTAGTGAAAATCCAAATTAGCACCCCTTCCAATTGATCAATGTAGACAAGACTTACTTATTCGTGTGTAATATGCACCCTTAATTGTGGGCAATTAAATTCTGGAAAAATATATCTGTCGTATATAAACATTTCAGCATAAACCACGAAATTTATCTTTCAACTCTGTTTTTTTCACCAAAATAATATTCTAATAAGAGCCCCCTATTTCTAATTTTGAGAGTGCCCTGCGCGCTTATTACGTCAAATACGGTAATACATTTTGGGCAAGTGTAACCACAAATGTTTTAGCAAGATTGTCAATCTTTATACATTTGACCTTGAACCATACCATGACATGTGACAAAGGAATTCTCAGGGCCATTTGTAGAAGTCCATGCAAATATAATTCTAACATCAATAATCTTTGTGTTGTAGGCATAAGAAAAATCACCGGTGGAGGTCAATTTCCAATAAAACCTAACATAGTCCCATTTCAGGAACTGCTAATTATCCTAGGTGGCTTAACTCACAGGTGTTAACGTGATTTCATCCCAGTATTTGTTTCCAGGACACCCATGAAGCAATTACCAAACGAAGATTACTAATCCACTAATACACTGACATTCCTACCAAATCCACATACTATCAAGATATCTCTACTGATAAACTGCTCCAGATATGTCAAGTAACAATTCACCGAAAACTACAATATCATCGATTCTTAGGTACACAAGATACTTGAATTAATCAGTTTGTGATATTGCGGTACTCTATAAATAGAACAGAAACCAATAGAGATACCTCCCATAATGGCAGAAGTAGCATAGCGCCACCAGTAAGCATGAAAGAACACAAAGTTGTGGTGGCTGGGGACACGCCGACTAACTGTTACATTTAATAACCATCCCTTCATTTATAACTGTTGTGTTCTTGCGGTTTTCTTTGTTAAAAATTTTGAGATCATAAAAGAATGAATGAAGAAAGAGGTTTAAGAGCTGTATTTCACTGATTTCATCATTTCTTCATTGTTTGTTGTTTGACGTCGCACTCAGCAATATTCCAGCTATATGACGGCTCATCATTTCTTACTATTCGATGTGGTGTATCGTGATACCAGTAGTATCGTCAGTCCATTATATAATACTAATCACATTGCAAGATACCAGGTGATACTCAGCTCCAGTGTCAAGCATCGAGCATTCTTTCTTAAAAGGATGTGTGTAAATGCTTGCGCACTGCAATGTGTAATCAGATGACATGTTGCTGTCACTATTCAACTTAAATGATTTATTATTTCAAATGTTCTATTTAGAAAATCTGGAAAATGAAGATATATTCACCAGTGGATTCGGCCTAAATCTGTATGCCAGCATCATTCTCTTCCTATATGCATCAAACTCATCATCATCTCTGCCGAGCTCGGCTGGCCTCTCAATGCCCAGGCCTCTCCCTTCCACGGCAGTTTGGCCTCTATACAATACAACATCACAGCAATGCATCAAGAAGCCTTATTAATATTAGCTTCATGTTAATCAGCTAACATATTTACAAACAAAAAATAAGACATTTAGGTGATAAACAGTGACCAAGAGTTGTTTTTGACCAACATATAGCCACATCATGATAGAGGACACCAAGCATGGGCTTCACACATTAGTTGCCTAAATCTCACTCTTGCTGAAGAAAATGATCTCATATCTCATAGAAAAGTATATCTGAAACTTCTATTTGGTTCAAACACCAGTCTACAGAAATGGACATTTTATGTGTAAGTGTGAATATGCAAAATTCCCATGACAGAGTATATAATAAAAAACAAACAATAGATAAAAACCAGCAATGGTCTCTGTCAGATAAGGGAGACAACTTTTATATTTCAATAAATAATCTACCTTCCTCAATCTTCAACAACAGCCCAAAGAGTAGGTCTCAATAGTCTATTCTGCAACTATTACTGTAAGGTTTGCTTGGGGTGACAAAGTGACCTACTTTCCCACAGGATTAGTGATGCCCTGGTTCTCGTTACCGAGACCCTCCCCCTCCTTCCAGCCCAGTTTCTGCAGCATCTGATAGCCGATGTTCTCGCACGTCAACTTGAACTCCTTGTATTCGGAGTAGTCAGGCTCTCGGCCTTCCTTCAGTGCCTACAACACAGGTACACATTGTACAGGATACATTCGGCTTGGGACTCCTACAGTATTCATGAGGATGAAAATAGCTATGACACTTACAGATCCATCTGGGAACAAGACATGCTACTGCATTTTTACAATCCTTCACTGACCCTTATGGAAGTTCAAATACAATAACAAACGCTTTTCCTTGAAAATATCAAATGTTATATCAGGAGAACATTAATACTTGGTTTGGTTAATAATGCAAGTGATACCTTGAAAGTCTCCATGAATTTCTCCAGTTCCTGGGGAGGCAGGAAGTCTCCAATGAAATGCTTCCCTCTGTTTACATCTGTCAGCTGTTCTGCCCATTCTGGTAAACAATGCCAATTTATCTCAACTTGGCTCAATAATGAGTGGTTACATCATGTTAACTGTCTGTGAGATGATATCGTATGTCAGACATGGTAATAAATGCAAATATAATTGAAAACTACCTATCCAATAGTGTAATAGCCAGATCACAATGCTTGAGATTTTACGCAAATAAACTACTGTCAGTCAAAGATGAAAGACAGAATGTACTTTCCCAACTGAACACTAGATGAAGCAACCATAAGTATTCCAACTTCACATATCAGGGACAACTACCGTATTCGACGTAATGAGCGCCCTGCTCTAATAAGCACCCACGGCGACATTTGCTGATATATTGGCTGGTGAACCAACCTAATTAGCCAATCCCAATATATCTGTCGTACATAAACATTTCAGGCTGTCAGCATAACCATGAAATTTATCTTTCAACTCTGTTTTTTTCCACCAAAATTATATTCTAATAAGAGCACCCCATTTCTCATTTTGAGAGCGCCCTGGGCGCTTATTACATCGAATACGGTATTACATATTCTGGGGAACCTGGGATTATTTATTAAAATTAGAAATTACTGGAAAATCTTTTTGTTTGTTTGTTGTTTAACGCCGCACTCTGCAGTATTCCAGCTATATGATCGTGGTCTGTAAATAATCGAGTCTGGACCAGACAATCCAATGATTGACATCATGAGCATCGATCTATGTAATTGGGATACGATGACATGTATCAACAAAGTCAGTGAGCCTGACCACCCAATCCCGTTAGTCGCCTCTTACGACACGCATAGTTGCCTTTTACAGCAAGCATGGGTTGCTGAAGACCTGTTCTCAACCCAGATCTTCACAGGTCACTGGAAAAAAACAAAAACCTCAGGGTTTGCCAGAAATGATGAAAATAATGAGTTGGAAAAAACATAATTGTTTGGCTCCTACTTTCAGAGAGAAACATTACATGTGTTGAAGCAGTGTCTGAAGAAAGTCCAGCTCAGACAGGATATTGAATGGTAGTTTCCTCGGTTGCATGGGTACCAGGAAGGTGTTTCCCCTGCTCAACCTACCCTTGGTGGCCTCCATCTCAAGTTTCCTGTTCTTGTGTTCCCATGTACCCCCCTCCACATCCTCGTCCGAGTCATACTCGTACTTGGGCTTCACCTTCATCCCCGGCAGATCAGCCATCAGCGCAGCCTCCTTTGCCTTCTTCTGTGCCAGGATCAGCTCATACATCTTGTTCAACTGACAACAAGCGCTTCAAGTTAACCCATTATCAGTGAAACAACTAAACAGTAAACTCTGTCTTAGGGTTTCCCCTAGCCTCTTAAATCTGGGGTCATTATGACTCCTTAGCTGTAATACAGAGCAATCAAGCTTCAATTGTACTACCAGTTGCAACTGCATAAAACTAATAAAAAATGTAAGCATAGGTAGCATTTTTGTCCTGTTCATGCAGTGCTGCAGCTGCTAGGTTTTGTGTTCACATTACTATTCACTGCTGTGTGAACAGAGGCATATTTCAAACCAAGTCACTTGTCTAAGGTTACTTTACAACCTGTGATTCAGTGATGGGCAGGTCGATGGAAACTTGCAAGAGTGAAGCTTGTACCCCCTATCATGTCTGTGTTGTTCTGTGTTGTTCTGAGTTGTTCTGTGTTGTTCTGAGTTGTTCTGTGTTGTTCAGTGTTGTTCAGTGTTGTTCAGTGTTGTTCTGTGTTGTTCTGAGTTGTTCTGTGTTGTTCAGTGTTGTTCAGTGTTGTTCAGTGTTGTTCTGTGTTGTTCTGTGTTGTTCTGAGTTGTTCTGAGTTGTTCTGTATTGTTCAGTGTTGTTCTGTGTTGTTACAGTATGTTCAGTGTTGTTCTGTGTTGTTACAGTATGTTCAGAGTTGTTCTGTGTTGTTACAGTATGTTCAGTGTTGTTCTGTGTTGTTACAGTATGTTCAGTGTTGTTCTGAGTTGTTCAGTGTTGTTTTGTGTTGTTACAGTATGTTCAGAGTTGTTCTGTGTTGTTACAGTATGTTCAGTGTTGTTCTTTGTTGTTACAGTATGTTCAGAGTTGTTCTGTGTTGTTACAGTATGTTCAGTGTTGTTCTGTGTTGTTACAGTATGTTCAGTGTTGTTCTGAGTTGTTCTGTGTTGTTCTGTGTTGTTCAGTGTTGTTCTGTGTTGTTACAGTATGTTCAGTGTTGTTCTGTGTTGTTACAGTATGTTCAGTGTTGTTCTGAGTTGTTCTGTGTTGTTCAGAGTTGTTCTGTGTTGTTCTGTGTTGTTACAGTATGTTCAGTGTTGTTACAGTATTCACCTCCTGCTGCTCCCGGATCTGTTTGAGCTGCTCAGGGGAGATGTCGTCACTGCCGACCATCTTGCGGGCAAAGTCCTGTATGGTGGGCATCACATGTCTGGCCGGCATGGCTGGGAGCAGGTCACAGGAGACATTAGTGCACACCCACAGTGCATTCAATGGCCATAATTAACTCCACTAATAGTGTTCTTTGGTTACATTTCCGACAACATCCTTTGTAGGTTTATGGACAACTAACAATATCAATTAATTTCCTAACTACAGTTCAACCCTGTTAGTCTTGGGCCAGTATATCCAGAACCCTGCTTGCTGGACAACTGTTAGTAACCACTATATATAACATTATGCCAAAGCAACGATTTGTTATTTCGGAAAATTGACATGTATTTCACTGGAAACCACACTGTCTGGTTTAATGGGATATTAATAGACCTATAGTTCAGGGTTCAATGGCAGAGCTGTTCCTGTACATTTGAAGCAACACAAATATTTGTTACATGATTGTGTATTGTACGTTGTAATTCCTATCTATCTAAGGCCACTGATCCATCATAAAATGTTTACCTTGCATGGGAGGGACAACTGTATTTATAAGGCCTCCAACACCGAGCTGGGGAGTAACTAACCCTGGTGCCCCTAGCTGAGGATTTACCACCCCAGGGGCACCCAGAACAGGATTAGCAAGACCTGGTACAGGCAAGGTTGGCGGTACAGCAGCACCAGCATCATCACCCCATCGACTACGCTTCTTCCTCCTTACTTGCTTCCTGTCCTCTGTCCCCTCTGTGAACAGAATCATGATGTTACTTAGTGAGTGAGTAAATGAGTAACCTAGAGGTGTTTGCATTTACTTGCAAAAACAAGCAGACCCTTGCCCCACCTGTACTTCCTCAAAGCTTAGTCTTAATATACCATCATGTACTTCAGTCCAAAAATGTTACTTCCAGACCTGACCTTAATCAAGACAACTTATAAAGAACTAACAATTACCCAAGTCTCGGGAATATATATCATGATATAAGTTAAAATTCAATATTGCAACACTAACGGGGAATAACTGATGCAGCCCTTTAATATATACTTCAGTGTGAAAGACTGAGTTTTCTGAAATTTAGAAAAGTGATAGTTTCATTGCAGTGAACATGGCACTAAATATTTCACTACAGTGAACATTACACTTTGACGGAACAATTGTCATGCAAGAGTTACCTCCCTTCAAATTATCTCCTTTTAACATTGGTGTCAAGCCCGTTGACATCCTTTTTACGTTAGTTCCACATTGACAAGGCAAAGTCACTGTTAGAAATTGGTACTAGTCCTGTAGTCCTTGCCAAACTGCCCAGTAGTTAAGGTATCATAAGGACTAGTAGAAATGTGCCCTTTTTAAGGGTTTTGCTATATGTTATCATTATAAGGACTAGTGGTTCAAACCTGTTAGTTTCTTCGCTGATAGTAATGACAGATGGTTATTGATGGAGTCAATATCACTTCTTGCCATTTGTAATTCTCTTGAAAATGTTTTGTTTCTTGACCAGCGTGTATTCTTTCGCTTCCCGGTCCCCCCCGATTATGTTTCTAGGTTTGTCAGCACCATACCCATGCTCGTGGGTTTCACTGAAGTGGTAAACATCTGAGACCTGCATCACTTCGGGCTTTCCTCCCACATTAAGCTGACACGCCATCACATAACTGGAATACTGTTAAAAGCGGCGTTAAACCCAACTCACTCATTCACTCCAGCAATGGTCTCCTACTTTTTTAAGAATATTTGTTCTAAAGTTGATTTTTTATATATTATCATATCGAAATGTATAATAAAGAATTTTCATGGCCCTAAATATTTTTTGATACTTTTGTTTATATTTTTTAAGATTTTGCAAACAAGAGACTCCAGTGTGTTAGGTAGGGAGAATTTACATTTCAAAGTTTTACATTTGTAATGTAATAATTTAATTTTCCGGTAGAAAACTACACAAAAAGTGAATGATAAATGGGATATTTCATGTGTCTCATGAAATATCACATATCTCTCATCGAGTGACAGGGGGAAAGGAGATGTTTTCATGAGTGGCGTAGCCTTGAAATGTAAATTCTCCACACCTAACACACAGGGACGGTTCACCATCCCTTGTATTTGTGACTTAAAAAGTAATTTCCCTCGATGAGAGAAACATGATATTTCACTTGACACATAAAATATCATCCATGTTTTACAATAACCTCAAAGGAAACCATAACCTTTTACAGACATACCGGTAGTACCAACTTTAGATATGGTAGGATTCATAAAGACACATGCAAATATAAAAGTTAATGACTGTAGAGAGGTAACCATGCCTCAAAAACTGACAATGATATAGCCATGTTGATGACCTTGACCTTCTCACTGCATGTGCCAAAGGAATTCCACTGGTTCATGTGGAATAAAACATTGTAGGATATCCTCTGATATTAATAATATTTGTGCCAGAATATGATTGCAACTATTGTTGAAAAGTTCCTCAAAAGTGACCTTGACCTTTGATGTAAATGCAACAGTTTAATTTGTGGTAGAATATCCCAAGAAACATATAAATATAAAGTCCCATGCCTGTATAGTTAACCATGCCTCCAAAACTGACAATGATAGAACCATGTTATACGAAAAAACAGAATGCTGACCTTGACTAGTCTTGACCAAAACATTTCAAAGCAGGGCCCCATCCTAGAGAGTCAGACAGCATATACCTAACTTCTAAGAAGTTGGTATAATGCATAAGGAAGATAGTTCTGTGGATATACATCTTCTTTATACTCTGACTAAGCTATGTCATGTTAGTTTGACATGAGCCAATAAAAATAGGCAAAAAAGCTTTAACATCCATCTACATTATCTTTGAATCTAACTGCCATTATTTGAGTGAGTGAATCATGTACTACGATTAGGCAGCCTGCCAGAGATGAAGAGATTGATGAATCAATTGTCAATAAGCATGCAGTGCTGGGGACCTGTCCTGCATGGGAGTGTCTACAGGATAAATGTCAAGGTATTTGGGGTATTCAACAAAACCACAGTACAGTACATGAACAACATGTTCTTGATGATCTGAGTGAACGTGGGTGCGTGAGTGAGTGAACTGGGTTTAATGCCGCTTTTAACAGTATTCCAGGTATATCGCAGCATGTCAGCTTGATGTGGGGGGCAACATGTCACAAAAGAGTTCCATATTTCTAAGATATTATCCCTGTATGCACTGTATTTGCGATGCATCTGTGGACACATGCAACCCACCTCTGTCTCCTTCCGTGTCCGCTGCGTTGCCTGTGTCTGTGGATAGTCGGGACATTTCCCAGATTTTCTGATGAAAATACTTGTATGCTTCACATGAGGTGTCATATAAAAAGCTGCAACAAATTTTTTAATTTTCTTTAAATACTCCATTTAACATGTTTAAGTAATAATGATATTAAAAACAAGGATCTCACCATGATTTTTCACATAAATTCACAATCTCATTGAAATCAGACCTTAGTTCTCGATACCGCTGAACAAAGATCTGAAGACATCCCATAAGGAGTCGCGTACAAAGATCAACATGATCAAAACAAAAGCTGGATAGCAATTTAATTTTGCTTCATGTTTCTACATACATAAGAATCCAGCTATTTATCAAACCTCCAAGTTTATCAACTTGTGAGCCATTGAGTAGCATTTAATCAAAATGGTGTGTGAGCTTAATGGGAGAGAAAATACCCACTACGTTTGTCATCAACATGAGCCACTTAGGAGAAACCCACAAGCAAAGGTAAGGGTCTGACAAAGGATTAAACTGAGGTGAATCAGGAATTTCTAGACAGTTGACAGCTGGTCAATCGTTTTGCAATCTTGCAGACATTAATTTTGCACACCCAAGCATAAAACACAAAGATTACTCCACAAAACACAATCAAGGTGATGTGGAGTGAAATGTGGTTTAACAGCATTCAAGATTATTGCACTTATAAAGTGACTCTGTGTGCATGTGATGGTACTAGTCTGGACTAATGCTGATTTTGTAGTGCTATGTCACTGAGATAGTATTTAACATGGATTCTACATTCAGACACAGTATACTGACTCCAAGCCGACCAGTACTTGTTTTAGTCCCTTAATGCTGATCACCAGGCAGGGAAACAAGTAGTACCATCTCTTAACGTCTTTTGGCCAACTGCTCTCCTGACAGATCCTTTATCCACATGACCAGGGAGGTGGTTAAATCATAATGAAACTTACACAGACCAAACCTAGGACTCACTATGCCCTCCTTAATACTTACTAGTATTTGGCATGCTGACTTCTGTATTGCTCTCTGAAGACCTCCTCCAGTTCTGGACCACCCTCAACAATCTGCACTGCCAGCCTGTCACAGGCCTCACGTGTGATGGGGTTGTCTGGTGGTAAGACTAGAAGACCCTTATCAGTACTCTAGCCCCCTCTCACAATACTTGGTGTGTTGTAGCTAATAAAGAGCCAGCACTTTGCCAGTTTGTATCACTTGCGACACAATGCAAACAGCGCTGTCCATCTTTTTCAGTATGGCTCACACTGACATGAATTAATTCTTGTAGTCGTTCACTTTACCATCTTTACCAATTACTTTAAGTTGTCCTACATGTTATTTTTCAAACAGATCAAACTATATGAATAAGAGATTCCAATTTCTTTTCTTTTTATCCTAAAACATGATGACAGATGGAACCTTGTTAGCTGTATGCGTGATTTGGTCAGTTACTTAATTTCAGATTTTCTGGAGCACTGTTAAATACTGATCCACACATCTACCTGTAGCTTGAGATGCAGGTTGCAGGTCAAAAACATCTGATAGCTTCTCCTTTTTCAACACCGGTTCGATGGGTGTCCCATACTGCCCTATGTCTGGGCGGGCAGGTGCTTGCAGGCTCATTTGTGCTGGTCTGTGCTGGATGTTACCAGTGCCATGACCAACTGAGCTGAAACACGGAGTGAGTGAGTGAGTGAGTGAGAGAATATGGTTGTACGTCAGACATTTTCCACCTTTATCAGGGGACAACCTAGTCTGGACCAGACAAGAAATTGGCTAATGGCACACATCACCAATATCTACAATAAGAATATTAGGCTGTGGACCTATTCTGTCTCCAAATCCACACAAGCACAGTTACTTTCCATAGACAAATGACACAAGTAGATTATAGAACATTCAGAATGATATAAGTTTTGTAGAATTTTCCTATTCGGAATATACTATAAGTAATACGTTACCACTGTTATACCGAGGCTGTTGTCTCCCACAACTGCTGCTATAGTGAAATCTACCACAGAGATCTCAATTACCTCATGCAGCATGTGCGTAGCCACCTAGCTGCCATGTGACACCCTTCACTCTTGTCTCTAGCGAGAGCAAGTGCTCGGGGGACGGACGGGCGGGCATCAGCCCAGTGGTAACGTATTACTTATAGAATATTCCGAATAGGAAAATTCTACAAATTACATTAAATAATACGTTACCACTGTTATACCGAGGCTGACTACCACAGTTGGCGGTGGGGAGCACCTACAACCCGAACCTGGATGAGCATGCTCCTAGCTCGGCGTTACCCTATAGGAATACCAAAGCACTGTCAAGCGCATACCGTAAGGCTCAATCGTCTTTGCCAAACGATTGGTGACTCCAAACGGCCCCACTGGACAGGTATTTGTCGCCGCAGCGGATGAGAACACAGTATCCGTGTGAGCTAAATCTTAGATCAGGTTAAACAGTCGAAAAGAGGGAAATTAATTTCATTCGGACTGTATATCCCAGAGCAAGCCTACATAAAGTATGCATTCAGCGCGTGACCTAATTCCAGTATTTGTAAGCATGCATCACAAGGTTGGGATACACGACAGACAATTAAATACATAAAAGCCTTCCTCACCTGTGGTGTGAGTGCGCTGGTTTGCGGGACCCTCACTCCTGTACCCACGGCGGTGGGAACATTGGAGAAGACCCAGATTGACCACCGTGCAAGGTCTGAAGCCTGAGGAGTTCGGAATTGCGCTGGGCACACCCCTTAGATGACCACTAGTGCCGCGATCAGCGGCCCAAGACGGTGCACACCCTCCACGTCTTCATCAGAAACCTTTCTGAGGTAATGATTGGCAAATATCGGGTCAGAACGCCAGTAACTACCTCTTAATATTCTGTGAACAGCGATATTAGAGTGTAGGGCAAATGTTGCCGCTAGCGCCCTGATCTCGTGCGGGTTTGACCCCACAACCGGTAACCCCTGAGACCGGTACGCCAGATTGATGACAGAACAAAGCCATAACGCAATCGAGTTGCGAGTTATGTCAGCAGTCCGATTAGGGTTACACAGGATCTGTCCTCAGTATCAGCAGGGTGTAAGATTTCTTTGAGTGATCTTACACTGAATTCTCTCTCCGTTTGGCCAAATTTCTGATTCTTAGCGACAAAGCCCATGAGCAGGCCCAGGCGGACCGCTCCTTCGTCGCCCCTATCGAATCGTTCTTTAGTGACATCGAGTGCATGAATCTCAGACACACGTGCCGCCGTGGCAAAGGAGAGGAGAAATGATGTTTTCCAAGTCACATGCCGAAACGAAGAACTACCCAAGGGTTCATACGGAGCTTCCGTAAGTGATTTCAACACTAAGGAAAGATCCCAGGCCGGTGACCGAAGGCGGCCTTTCTTAAGATCTTGCTGTTTGAAACCCTTGATAATACCCCGAATCACTGGCTCTTTTTGGAGACTGGTACCCATAGCAACGTCCTGTAATGTAGCAACGGAAGAGACATAGTTGGCAATGGAACCCCCGGAGAGTTTCCGGGTCTCTTGTAAGTGAGACATGAAACGAGCAATATCGTGCACAGATACCTTATCTGGCGAATGAATGTGATGTTTACAACACCACTTCGTGAAAATAGCCCAACGTGCATTATACACCTTCTGGGTAGAATTACGATGCATACTAACGTATGACCGAGACGCCCGACGAGAAAAACCTTTACTCCTCAGTCGCTCGGTGACAACATCCACACGTGCAGATTGAACTGCCCTGCGTTTGGATGAAGTTGACAGGTGTGAGGGTGGATCAGGAGATCTGGTCTCACAGGCAGTGGAAGTGGAGACTGCTAACCTGGGCCAGCAAGTCGGGGAACCACGATCTGTTCGGCCACATGGGTGCGATCTGCAACATTCGACAGCGAACTCCTTGGAGCCGGCTTAGAATGAGTGGTATTAACGCTGTTGGCGGGTAAGCATAAGCGCCATGCCCATCCAGTCTAATGCGAGAGCATCGTGATCGATGGCCCTCAAGTCCGGGACTGGTGATACAAACAACAGGAGTTGATTGTTGAACCTGGTTGCGAACAGGTCGACCATCGGACGACCCAGACGTTCGCACAGCCACTGAAACACTACTGGGTTGAGCATCCACTCCATGGGGCTCGGGTCCCGAGGCCTCGACAGAGCGTCTGCCAGTACGTTCCGCACACCGGGAATGTGACAGGCGCGTACCTGGCACAGGATACTGTCCACCAGAGCGTAAAACTCCAACGTGAGATCGAGTAGCAAGTGACCCCCAGTTTGTTCACATAAGACGCTACCGTCGTGTTATCGGTCGCCAGCATGAGCCGGGCGTTGACGAAACGATGCTTCCAGTGATTGACTGCGTTGATCACTGCCTTGAACTCGAGGCAATTGATGTGAAGACCTAGTTCGTCTACGCACCACAGCCCCGAGCTCACCTCCCCCTCTAGATGGGCGCCCCAGCCCACTAGAGAGGCGTCTGTATACAGGTTCAACGTGGCCCGGAAGGGCCGCATAGAGACTCCTGATAAGACGTTGCAAGGGACCGTCCACCACTCCAGATGCGGTTGGAGCCGATCCGGGAGGGCGACGGTCGCACTGTTCTCCTCCTGTGCTAACAACTGTATTAGAAACTGTTGCAGCGGGCGGAGTTGGAGATGACCCCGGTCGTCGCAGTCCTGGGCTGACACAAGTAGCCCTAACAGCTGTTCCCAAACGTGAACAGTCTGTTGCACCGCTAAGACTTTGGTAATCATCACCTGAATCTTGTGCCACTGGTCTGGGGGGACAAAGAGGCAATGGGTCACCGTGTCGAACCGACCTCCGATGAACTTCAAGTTCTGTGAGGGGGTTAACTCGCTATTGGGGAGATTGACAATCCACCCCAATTGCTCCAAGAGCCGAAGTGCGAAATAGAGCGGACGAGACAGCACGTCTGTCATCCGATTAGCTACTAGCGAGTCGTCCAGGTACGCAAAGTACCTGACACCCCTCCTGTGAAGGAACCCCACTAGGGGGGGGGGGGGGTAACCGGGTGAACAGCCAGGGAGCGGACTGTCCAGGGCTGAGTGACTCGGGTTCGCCTACGGGCCAACTGAAATTGGCACTGTCGGCATACGAACCCCTCCAGTGAGAGTCACCTGGAGGGGCCCTTGCCGTCCTTAGACCCAGGCGCCTATGCAGGGACCCAACAAGATCAAGAGTATGCCCTTAGACGGCTTGGGCTTCCCCCAGTTCCCCTTCTTCCCACGAAAGGGCTGCTGAGAGCCCTTACCGGAGCCCTCAGGGGGGGGCTTCTTCCCGGAGGAAGAAGGACCCGACCCCTTAGACCTGCCGGCCGCAGCATCCTGGGGGGCAGTCCGCTTAGGGGCAGCACCCAGGCGACTATGCAGGGACCCAACAAGATCAAGAGTATGCCGAGAGGCCTCGGCAGACGAAGCAGCCTGTTGTTCTTTCAGAACCCCAGGGATCTTGTTATTGAAAAGGGTCCTCGCAGACCAAGGCTGCGAAAGGAGCACTTCCTGGTTGGCAGCGTCCAACCCGAAGGCGGCAAGATACGACTTGCGCCTCATAAAATGGTATGTGCCAGAAATAAAGGCCGAAGCCCCGGCAACGTACTCCAGTTATAAATGCGCAGGTCTCGGTCCATGGGAGAACCTTTGACCAGACTGGCCACTGCAGCCAAGTAAGTGTCACCATGAGACATGGCAAGCATTGAGTGCCGAGCGAGGGTGTCCAGCTGCTGCAAGGTAGCCTGCGTTACCGTAGCAGCCGGTGGGGCACGGACACCCAACAGCTCAACATGGGCCTCCGCGGTAGGACCAGCCTCGGGAAAGGCAAGGTCATGTACCGGGAATGAACCCTTTCTCCATGATGGGGGAGGCAACGGGAGACCCAGACCAGAGGCCGCCGCAAAGGCTTTCTCCAAGGAAGGCTTGATCCCGCGCAGCAAGGTTGATGCGGGGAAAGCCTCGTCGGAAGACTCATCAAATACCTCGGCGGAACCTACAGAGCCGTTGATTCCCCACGGTACCAGCAGGGGCTTAGGCATGTCCTCAAAGAGGTCATAAACCATGGCCACGCGATCCTTAACCGATAGCGGGAGCAACAATTCAGGGGAAGGACCGGTGACCACGGGAGCCGCCACCGTACCGGTGGACCCCGCGTCCGAACCCACTGCCACTGAAGGGGCCGGGGACGGAACAGCCAGCGGCCTATCCTTATATAAGGCCGCCAGCTTGGAGTCCACAAGTTTTGCAAGTAATGCAGCAACGGAATCCCCGGACAGCCAAAGGGCTGCCAAGGGATCCACCGCAGCCGTGGAGGTGGTACCCGCATCAGGGGTGGAAACAGACTGCAAATACAGCCTGTAGCACTCGAACGTCGCAGGCCCCAGACCCTCCCACTGGGCGCACCGGGTGTCCCCGCAAGGAACCCTGCACCGCAAAAGCCCCAGGACATACTAGAACAAGGGAACGTAAGACGCAACGTGCATACGAGACACCCCGCAAGTATATAGAAAAAAGGGCGGTAAAAAATTTCCTTTTGGCGGGAAAAATATTTCCAAGCGTAGTTACAGCAACGCCCCGTAAAAGCACAGTTTATTAGAGACAATAAACAGTAATAAATATCACCGAATGGTCGGAGAAACAGGAACGCTTCAGCAGTCTTTTTGTACGTCTTGCTAGAGCAAGCAAAGACACAAGAGTGAAGGGTGTCACATGGCAGCTAGGTGGCTACGCACTTGCCGTATGAGGTAATTGAGATCTCTGTGGTAGATTTCGCTATAGCAGCAGTTGTGGGAGACAACAGCCTCGGTATAACAGTGGTAACGCATAACTTAATGTAATTATGATAATTTGTGATAGAATGTCTTCTATATCATCACAAATAAAGTCACTACGATGGTTTTTCTTCTTTAATCTTTTCATTAATAATAATATCAATCAATATAGGTCCGTCACAAGGATAAAATGCAAGAAATTAAATGCAATGAGTCCCTCCAGAGAAGAATTATACGAAATTACTCTCATAAATGTACAACTGGTATAACACTGTTTTCATTGCAAAATAAAGTAAACGCTACATGTCTCTACTCACAAGGCTACTGGCATCACAGGCGAGTTTTTTCCTGGATCTCCAAAAGCTAATTTTTCATGTTTAACTGAAAAACAAACATAAAATCCAAATAGCACTATGTTTCAATAAACTCTGCCTTCTTCAACATGTTCAAGAAAACCACATCATTACCAGCACAGCAAACAGCCTACAAAATCCTAAACATTTGTTGAGTGACATATACTACTCAAAAGAAGTTATGGACCACTCAATTCTTTCATACTACTATAGTTAATGTGTCATGCCATGATAACTGAGTAACTGTACTAACATGAGAGAATCAGGTGACCCTTAACTTTCTTTGAGTGGTATAGATGTTTTACATGAGAACCAGCAATCATGTCACAGCTGCAAAAATAATGAGATAGAATTGTAGATTGAAAACTCATAACAATGACAAATGTTTGTTTGTGGTTATTTTAAGTTTTAAATGCAAGCTGGTACCTGCAAGTACCGGTATTCATTTATTAGGGCTGGGACGATACACCATTTGTGAGATCCGATACGTATCACAATACCTTACTCACAATCTGATATGTATCACGTTACTTGCATTTGCTCTTATCTGTGGCGTGTAAGCCATCTATTTTATAGACAGGATGGCCAAATACCTGGCACACTGACGATTTACAGTTGGCAGTGTCAAGTATGGCACTACAAATGAAAATATTTATGTTTTCACTATTAACTTGCACTACTTATTAGTGTTTAGTGGAACAGTTATAAAAGCAAACATTTATGGTCAGAAATGATGTTTTTTACTTGGTGAGCGACTGTGATTGACATTTGTATCGAGAAGTAAAAAATCATGATCCACTGATGCATCGCTGTATCGTCCCACCACTATCATTTATACAAATATTTCAAAGTATATCGAACCTGGACTATCTTCAGTGGGTGCAGAAGGATCATACGCTTCTTGGTATCTATCCTGTTTGTTGCTGATCTGCCTGCCATAGTCTCTGCTGCCCTGACCTCGATATCCTCCATGATCTCTGTCACGGCTACGCTGATACCTATCACGACTCCTGCTTCGACTGTGACGACTTGGGCTCCTGCTCCTGCTACGAGAATAACTAGAGCTTCGGGAAGAACTCCTGCTTCTACTTCTACTACTGCTTCTACTACTGTGGCTTCTTTTCCTCCCTCTACTTCGGCTCCGGCTCCTGCTACGACTACTGGAGGAATGGCTGTATGACCTTGATCCAGATCTAGATCTAGATCTTGACCGTGACCTTGACCTTGACCTGGATCGTGATCGTGATCGTTCACGTCTGTAATGCGCTTCTGGCTGTGGACGGGGCAGTGGGGAAGGTTGAGGTGGTTCACTTTCTCCGGTGATGTTACCAAATCTGGCCCGAGCCCTGACGGCCTCTAGGAGTGCGGCACTCTGCACCTTTTTTCCTGGAACTGCTGTATTTGCCACTGTTGGAAAATTTTGAGTTACTCCTACACATTTAAAAAACATGATACATTAGATCAATGAAGAGAGGGAACAAATGAACGTTGTTTTACACTACTGTCAGTTACGTTAAAGCCTGGGTTTTACCTTGACCTTCAAACAGGGGGTCCAGGGGACCCCCAATTACTAATTTCAAGGTCCTTACAACATTGTACAAGATATATGAGGGTTGTCAAAAAGTAATGAAATGGTGTAGGGTACTTTATTTACAAGACCTTTATATTTCTTGTCAAGTGAGTGACTGAGTTGGGTTTAACACCACTTTGAACAGTGTTCCAGTTACCGTATTCGACGTAATAAGCGCTCAGGGCGCTCTCAAAATTAGAAATAGGGGGCTCTTATTAGAATATTATTTTGGTGGAAAAAACAGAGTTGAAAGATAAATTTCGTGGTTTATGCTGACAGTTTGAAATGTTCATATACGACAGATATATTTTTCCAGAATTAAATTGCCCATAATTAAGGGTGCATATAACACACGAGTGCGTATTATACACGAATAAATAAGTCTTGTGTAAATTGATCAATCGGAAGGGGTGCTAATTGGGATTGTTCACTTGCCAATATATTAGCAAATATCACCGTGGGCCCTTATTAGAGCGGGGCGCTTATTGCGTCGAATACGGTATATCATGTTGTGCCAGCTTCGTGTGGGAGGAAAGTCTGATGCAGGCCCTAGACGCATACCACTTTGAGAAAACCCACAAGTACAGGTATGGTGGTGACAAACCAAGAAACATATATGGGGTGAACAGGGATTTGACCCTACAATTTATGGTTTCTGGCGGTAAACAAAAAATCTTGAACTTTTAACATAAAGACATAACGACAAGGGCCCCTCGAGTTTCATGCTTAATTTCAAACACTGCATACATATACCATGGACATGATGTACACAGTCACATTTCTGTAAACATGATAACATTAACTTCATAAATGATAATATATTTGTTTCAAGTTGAATGAAATACTTACTTGGTGTTTGCTGCAATCTTGTCAGCTCAGCAAAATAAGTGCTGGTTTCACTTGGTTCACTTGCAACGGTTTTCTTAGGAATTACCCCTGATTTCAAGACAGGAACAGCCCTTGCTGGCTTACCCTTTAATCCTACACCTGGGCGCCTTCCAAACCTAAGGCCACAATAAGGTACAGCATTGTTAGAGTATTATTAGAATTTGTGTTGTTCACACTCGGTTAATGTTGGTCATTGCTGTAGCATTGACAGTATGACTACACCACAGTGGGGTTTCTAGTCAATTACTCTGCATGCTTATAGTTCATAATTAATAGCAACTGCTAGTAAATTACCAGGATTGTTTGTTTGTTGTTTATCACATTTAACACCTCGCTCAGCAACATCCAGTGGCAGTCAGTCGTTTGTGTGAGACAATCCAGTGAAAGTGATTGACCTTTTGGGTATCATTGAATCCAATTGAGATACAATGACATGCGATCAACCAAGCTGTTGAGCCTGACTGCGCTATCAACTGCCAACAAGCATAGATTGCTAGAGAGTGCTTACCCTGAATCCCCATGAGAATAGTACCATGATCACTGTAAGGATTGAATACACTGTAATGCTGTAGGTCTTTTATTTTTACTGAAGTTGCACTGTTCATCAATCTCATTAAAATCAGATCTTAGTTTTCGCTACCGCTAAACAAAGACCTGAGGACATCCCATTACGGGTCATGTCAGAACTACCTTTCGTGAATTTTGACCGACCAATGAAATGACTGACAAGAAATCGACATTGGCCAATCAGATGGCAGCTTTCTCGAGCTTTACGACACTAGTTTCAAACTGGCTGGAATGGCTTATAGATGGCCTAGATAATATGGATATAATCATAAAACCCGTAACTGTCGTTCGGAATACCCCGTGTTAAATATATTGTGGTTGCATGATTAGAAAACACATTCCGACTGTCACTTTCATGATCTGGTAAGCGACAGTCTGATTGGTCGGATGAAAGGTCGTTCTGACGTGACCCCTAATGGAATGTCCTCAGATCTTGTTTAGCGATAGCGAGAACTAAGATCTGATTTTAATGAGATTGAACTGTTCGTATACAATGTATATGTAGGTTAATGTTATTATTTCATTTATAGAGTAATAATACATGTGTTTACAAACCTTAACTATGTAACTGTAAGGATTGAATACCCTGTATTGCTGTAGGTCTTTTATTTTTATTGAAGTTGTGCTGTTTGTATACAATGTATATGTAGGTAAATGTTATTACCGTATTCGACGTAATAAGCGCCCAGGGCGCACTCAAAATTAGTAATAGGGGGCTCTTATTAGAATATTACTTTGGTGAAAAATAACAGAGTTGAAAAATAAATTTAATGGTTTATGCTGACAGCCTGAAATGTTTATATACGACAGATATAATTTTCCAGAATGTAATTTCCCATAATTAAGGGTGTATGTAGCACACAAGTGCGTATTATACGCGAATAAATAGGTCTTATGTACAGTGATCAATCGGAAGGGGTACCAAATGAGATTGTTCACTAGCCAATATATAAGCAAATATCACTGTGGGCGCTTATTAGAGCGGGGCGCTTATTACGTCAAATGCGGTATTTCATTTATAGAGTAATAATACATGTGTTTACAAACCTTAACTATGTCACTGTCAGGATTGAATACACTGTATTGCTGTAGGTCTTTTATTTTTACTGAAGTTGTACTGTTCGTATACAATGTATATGTAGGTAAATGTTATTATTTCATTAATAGAGTAATAATACATGTGTTTACAAACCTGAACTATGTCACTACAGATGTTTGTAAACAGATGTCAAAATATTTTAATAATATTGTCTCAAGAAGACAAAATACTTATTGAACACAGAAAACACACTTACAACGGCATTGTTGGTTTCATTTGAACGCCAGGATCGGTATCGGATTTTTCAGATTGTTTCATTTGTGCTTTAGCCAATTTTTCTTGAATCTGACGCTTCTTTTCTGCTATCATCTTCTCTTGTGCAGACATTTGATTCAAAATGCTGGCCTGATTAGAATTGCCAGGTCCAGGGTTATTTGTCGGTGGTCTCCCTCCGGACCTACCTCCACCTTGATCGCGTCCCCAAAGATACATGGCTGATAATTTAAAACAAGGCTAAATTGCAATATTATGTAAAGTTACTATATTCTCAAGACAACCCATGCGCCATGTTGGTTTCGTGTCGCATAGTTTCCATAAGGTTTTCGTTGGTTGGCGAATAGTCCCAGTAACAGCCAATCAATAGTTCTATCATAGATTTATGTGACCACGTATTTGATTGGCTTCAGATAGAGAATCGCCCAATCGCATTCGAGCTTGCAACCCCAGAAATGGAGAGCAACATGGCAGCTGCAGAGAGTGGCTATGTTGTATTTCAACGTGGAAAAGAGGTGTGCAATGATTAATAAAATCTAAAACTTGTAACTCAGTTCAATATTTAAATGTACCACCCTGCTATTTTCATCGTTATTTAAAAGTGCACCGTGTTTTTTAATGCATAGTTCCAAATCATGTCCATTATCGCAAGGCACTGAAAAAAACGTGCGTGCGTTTCAAATCGTCACAAGAGAACGTATACGGTACGATCGCCTGTTCTGTAGATGTTATGCCGGGAAGTCTTGAAATGGAATATCACGGAAATAACACTGACCGTATTTTGAAAAGGTGTCACTGCAGTCTTTCGGAGGAAGTTAGTGTAAACCGCATGTCTCATCAATGATAAATAACTTATGGGCCATTGTCCGTGCTGTCATAAGATATTAAGGCAACATTGCTGTTTACCAGGCGCAGCTTATAGTGCTAATTGCCTCAGGCTGCTCCTGTGGTTCTCACTTCACTACTTTGTTGCCTCTCGATCTTAAAGGTTAATTACCACCAACTCTATCCTGTCCCTGGGCGGTCGGGTAGCCTAGTGTTAAAAGCGTTCACTCGTCACGCCGAAGACCCGGGTTCGATTCCCGACATGGGTACAATGTGTGATGCCCATTTCTGGTGTCCCCCGCCGTGATATTGCTGGAATATTGCTAAAAGCGGCATAAACCATACTCACTCACTCACTCACTATCCTGTCCCTTGGATCCCCTTTCCTATCAAGCACCCCTTTACAATCATTTAGGTTAGATACCCCTTTTTGATTGAATGCCTCTTCGCGATTCCTTAGGGTTGGGCACCCCTTGCAAATCAACCATAATCAACAAATTAGGGATAGGCACCCCCTTGACGATTCTTAGGGCAGAGACCACAAAATCTTATAGGCTACATCATCTTCATACAAAAATCTTATGCTGATTTTGCACCCGCCTCAAGTGCACATAACAGAATAGCGTAGACATATTTGTAGCACCTTTGCAGCTTGGTGAATGAGTGATGATGTAAAGTTTGAAACCTGTTTTGTTGTCTTTTCAGAGTGATGAAAGTGACATTTGGGATGACACTGCCCTCATTAAGGCATACGATAATGCAGCCTCCATTATGAAGGTATGTATTGTGTAACAATGGAAACAACATCTTATAATTTATGATCCATTCAAAATAACTAAATTTTGTAAATGTTGTAATGACTTTATGCGATGAATGATGACTGAAATCAACGCCATTTCTTTTTTTTCTTTTCTTTTTGTCCAAGTAGGCTCGATTAGCAGAAAGAGAAGGAGGCACCAATGAGAATGGGGAAATGGTTGCTGAGTCGGTGACACAAACACAAGAGGGTGCAGCAAAGAAGAAAAAGAAGAAGCATCGACCAAAGAAGAAAAAGCAACAGCAAAAGGTGGGGAAATATCATTATGATAACTACTAGTTTCATAAATACTTGATCTCAAGCCTTTGAGTCCAGATGTAAGCATGGTTTAGGAAAACAGATAAAAAATGCGTAATTAAGAAAGAAGAAGATAAATGACTTAAAACTCAACAAGTCCACAGATCATTTTGGACTAGTGGTTTATGTAACACAAGAACTTAAGTAGTCAGTAATTTTCTTAGGACCAACAGCCTGTTAAGGTGGTGTTGTGGAGCCACTGATATGTCGTCTTCCCGAGGCAAGGGAATTAACTGACTATAAAAGTCAAGTTTCCACCCTGGCCGAACTAGGCTGGTATTATGGAGTTACATTTTGGCTGGACTAACAAGTCCATGCATAGTCCAATTAAAATCGCGCACCGAAATCGAAATCCGGTTAGTAAACTGGCGTGCAGATTTCAGTCGATTGCATGATTTGCAAAGCATGTGCACCGCCAACTCGTTGTCAGCAGATATTTTCCAAGTCTTTTCACATTTTTAATCAAGGTGTTCACGTGATTTGATGCACTTTGCGAGGTAAGACCCGTTTTACCACAATATAGATGTTGATTATCCATCAGATCATCTTGACTGGGCGCCGCCATTTTGTTTGATACAAATGCAAGTTATACGAGAGCTGGAATCTGATTGGTCTATAGGAGAGGCTTATAAGGGATATGACTCGTAATAACCAATGGTGACGCTACGATCGAGACCAGGAATTCCAGCCTAGTTCGGCAAGGGTGGAAACTGGACTTTTACAGTCAGTTAACTCCCTTGCCTCGGGAAGATACTGATATGTTTGTTTGACATTATGTAAATAGTCAGTTATCAGGCATCTTTTTATATACAAAAGGGGAACTTTCCTTGCCATATTGCATGCATAAGTTATTGTCATGTTAGCTTCATTTGATGTACAGTCATATTGAATGATGAGTGTCCTAGTTCATTTAGTGTGAAAGTGGCAAACTGTGATTTCAAGATATCTTCTCAACAGTGGAAGATCGGAGATTCCTGCCGAGCTGTGTTCACCGAAGATGGCTTGCTCTATGATGCAGAGATCATTGGTATTGATGAGGCTGAGAGCACCTGCACTGTCAGATACACAGAATATCAGAACGAAGAAAACCAGCCACTGGATCGCCTCCTTCCACCGCGACCAACTTCTAAACCACACACCAATGTGTCACTCAGTGAGGTAAGTTATGATAAATCAAAACCACTTAGAAGGGCGAGGGCTCTGTTGCTTCTTTGTCAAGGGTCCAAGCATTTGTGTGGGCTCCAATGCTTCACATTTGGACTTTCTGCTTTTGTGGGTGGGGGAGGAACTCCAATGCTTCACATTTGGACTTTCTGCTTTTGTGGGTGGTGGAGGAGCTCCAATGCTTCACATTTGGACTTTCTGCTTTTGTGGGTGGGGGAGGAACTCCAATACTTCTGAGTCAGAGTAAGTGTGGTGGGGGTGGTGGGGGTGGTGGGGCTGCTTTGGTTTTAGAAACCTTGATAGTTGTCAGAGACAAGAATATGTGAACGAGTTTTTAAAAAAGCAGCTTTTCAGAAGGCAAAGCTCTAGCACTTGTTAACTCAAATGTAGCCTCGAAGTCCAGAGTAGCATGCTTTGCAGTCAGTGATCTCTGCTTTGGCTTTAGACACACTGTCATCATGGATATATGCTGAATTTAAATGTCATGTGTGAGGGTCCATAAAATAATGATGAACACAGCCAGGAAATATTCAAATATGTCACTGTGTGAAGGCAAGTTTGGTAATTGGACACCTTTCACTATTTCAATGGTACAATAGTCAGTGTAACAATTGCTGTACCACTGCAATTATCAATGCACACTCAATAGTTACATGAACTCACTAAGTCTACTTCAAGAATAATAGTCTGTCATAGCTGGTATTTGTCAAACCTTCTGGAGTTGACAGTAGTCAAAGGACTATATGAATGTGAAAAGCTACTTGAATATTTGTGCCTGTGTATGCTGTCAGTGTGTAAACTGTTTGTAGGCTTGGTCTGTAATGCTGTGTGTTTGTCCCTAGACTGACAGCAATGATGTCACAATGCAGAATGCTGCCCCCCAAAGAATGGGTGGGCGGGGCAAGTCCAGTGGGGCGGCCCCTGACCACCCTTCCAGAGCATCATTTGAATCTCACCCATTCTTTCAAGGAATGCCATATGTAAGTCTCAGGTTGTTACTTTTGTTTCCTGATTAATCTGAGGGCACAGGTGGCCCAGCCGTCTAAGGTGCTGCAATTTGCTGGACAAACTTCCCTTGTGCAAGTCAAAACCTATGATTGTAGATTCAAATCCTGATTCGCCCCAATTATGTTTCTAGGTTTGTCAGCACCATACCCCTGCTTGTGGGTTTCACCAAAGTAGTAAACATCCGAGACCTGCATCACTTTGGGCTTTCCTCCCACATTAAGCTGACACACCGTGATATAACTGGAATACTTTTCAAAGCGGCTTTAAACCCAACTCATTCACTACTGCATAATCTGAAACTTTGTTATTCACAATATAATCTAGTAGTATAATAATGTCTTACAAGGGTTTTACCTTGACTTACAAAACTGGAGGTCCAGTGGACCCCCACACACACACACTTATTAAATTCAAGGAAATATGAGGGTTTTGTAAAGTAACAAAATGAGGAAGTGTTCTGTACTGTAAGATTTGATAATTACCTCGATTACAGGAACTTTATATTTCTTGTCAACCATTTGGTACAATGAATGTTACTGTGCATCCTGAAAGACGCACTTTTCCATTTTTTCTGTGTCCATCCTATACATTTGTGCATACTGAAAGCACATTTCTGTGCCTGATTTAATGGATTGGGTGGTCAGGCTCAGTGACTTGGTTGAGAGCATGTTAATGTACCCTGATCGCAAGGATCGTTGCTCATAGCATTGACCACTGGTTTATCTGGACCAGACTTGATTATGTACAACTACTGCATGGAGATTCCTGGTTATAATAGGTTCGCAGAAATCACTGCTGGTTGTAAGTACCAATTTGGTTGATTGTGTGTCAACGTACGCCATTGACTAGGGTCATTGTGATATCAGTCACTGGATTGGTAACAGGCCACTGGAATAATGCTGAGTGCTGCATTAAACAACAAACCATCAAATGATAACATATTTTGTCTTCCCTTTCACAGCCTCCATTCAGGTTTCCATCAAACCACGCTGCTCACGCAGGAGGACCGGTAAGTTTACAATTCCAGCAGTAATGACAAGTTAAAGAGGAAAATATTGAACAATACAAAGTTAATTTGATTTTCTCAATATTTCACGGGTTGATATACATTACTTTCCTCCATCACATGTGAATACATACACAGTGCTCCAGGTAGATGCCGTATCGGTGTATTGTATGGATGAAAACTAGTGAAAAACAGAGGGATTGCAAATTATAACCATATCGAGTATGTGGGCATACAATACAATACGCTCTCATAATTAATTGTCCTTCTCCAATGATTGTTAAACTTCTGTTTACCACATCAGGCATATCCGTCTGCTTATACGGTAAATCATCATTTTGTGTCAGCAGCAAATGCAGTTCCTCCCAATCCTGCATTGTGATTGGCTGATAATTACACACTCGCAAATTCTCTCATCTCAGTTATGTTTCCGCTAGTTTGGTACCAAAATCCAAATGTTCAACTCAAGTTCTTTGAATAGTGGCCATGGAAAGTGTGTTGACAAATTTCTTCCAACCCTTGGCCAACAGATTTAAGTAGGAATAGTCTACAAATAGTCATACGACCTGATATACTGGTGGGCAGGACAGGTGGAAGGTATAGCTAAAATTGCAATGTATAACTATTTTATCACGCCAGTACTCATCAATTCAACTGACTAGCAGTACAGTATTTATTGGTTTGAAAAGAATTGTCTGGTACTCATCCGTTCTGATAATGACCAGTACTGTACTCATATGGTTGAAACATCTGGAACACTGCATACAGACACTCAGCAGTGTAGTCACAATTGTTGCCCGAGGAGTCAAGCCAGGGGCTGGTTCTAGTGTCAGGGAAACCAGCTAGTGCTCCAAACAATGAACACTCTGATTCAACACACTCATGGCAATATTTCATGTTCTATATATGCCACAGCCTTGCATCTATCTACTCTTCATATTGCTTCGGTATCAGGCCTGAGGATTGTTCTAAAACAATTCAAGCACGAAATTGGGCTCATTTGATAAGTTACACATGACTCATGCAGGGTTAGAAACTAGTCCACTAGTCCTCATAATGATAACATATAGCAAAACCCTTAAAAATGGCCAATTTCTACTAGTCCTTAGGATACTTTTACCATTGGGCAGTTTGGTAAGGACTACAGGACTAGTGCCAATTTCTAACGCTGCTCATGTCATTACTTGAATGACATAGACACAGGTCCGGTGTTTTCATGGGTGATAGGGGAACATAGTTATACAAACCCAGGAATTAGCAATGGAGAATTTTGTGTTTCGCAAGGTAACTGTTTGGGTAAACTTTGTCCGCTAAAACGTGGCACTCGTGTGTATGATGACTAACATCTGTTTTGGGGGTTTCTTTTTTAGAGAGTGCCCCCGATGCCTCCACCGCCGCCTCCTCCCCCACTGATGTCTGAGGATGTCGTGAGCGATGACGAGGCACTTAGTAGCATGTTGATATCGTGGTACATGAGTGGATATCACACAGGATATTATCAGGTACTCAGAAGGAATATTCTCTTAGATAACTGAGCTTCAGCAAACAATACTGTGCATTGTTATATCTCCATTAGGATCTTGCAATTCCATTGGTTAATCCATGGCAATGTAGATCCCCAAATCACTTGACTGACACTGACCTTTTATATTGACTCGTCACATGATCAGTAATGACCTTTCATGTGATGAATATTCGCTCTCGTCTACTAGAAAACAAGACAGTGTCTGGTGGTAACATTTCACGGTTCAAAGATTTTGGAACGTATAGAGGACTGTTAAAAGGCTTCATAGACTTTATAGTGAAATTCGGTATAACAAACCAAATGATAGCTCTTTGACGAGGTCCGTGTGGGAAAACAAGGTCCCTGTTTTGGCATATTGACCTCATCAAGAGTAATTATTTGTGTATTGTACTGACTCACAAATGAAAACACATCATCATGTTTTCAAGCATCAGACATGATGTGTTTTTGTGCTCAAGTCCATCTCGAAACACATCAAATGAGATTCGAACCTGAACAAGAACATTATTGTGTTTAATTACATCATGCCTAAATACACAGAACTTCATTGGATTTTTGTGGACATTTTGCCAAATATGACAAAACATTCGGTATATATGCTTCTGTAAAGTTATGCAAGTCCATGCCCAGCTGATTACTTGTTTTACAGATTTGTATTTCACTTTTTAGTCACAGTTAATCTCAGAACATCAACATGATGTCTTCAACTTTGCCACTATGGTCCTTGTCACTTGAAATAGAATCACAAAATGTTGCAATCATTAATGAACAAAGATAGCTGCATGTGTGCTAATATGTATGTGAAACCAAGCCATTCTGTCAATCAAGGATATTACTTACAGTAATGACAAAAATTGCAGAGAGATATCCATTTTGCTCATGATAAACATCACTGATGTTTAGTCACATGGTTAAAATCCAACTGAGGATCGGCAGTCAATTGACTGCGACCAGTCAACATGGGGGGGAAGTATTAAGAGCGCTATTCGCCCTGTGACCATCCATACATTTCAACACAGCAGAAGACCTCACAGGCTTGTTGACTCTTAGGTTTTCTTGGAATTGCCATCAGAGATGTTTCAGATGTTTACTCAAAGATTATTGACATCAGATATTATGGACCTCTCTCAAATGGCCCTGAGAAGTCTTGCCCCTCATTCAAAACTCAAGGTCATTAAATAGAAAAGATGTTTTAAAGATGTTTAAACTTAATATGCCTAAACTTAATATGCCTCAACTTAATATGCCTCCTCCAGTTTGGGACCCTACTCTTAAAAGGCTTTGTTCAAGATTAGTCAAAAGGTTAACATTCCCATTGTTGTGAAAATTGTCAATCATGTTATATCATTGTCAATTTCTAAGGCACAGTTGTATATTCATTGCAAGTTGCCGTAGCAGTTTTATATATACAGTCCTGAGATTTGGGTAATTGTTGGATCCATAGAAGTTGTATTGATTCAGGTCAAGTTCTGGAAGCAATTGTTGTGGACTGGACGTTTTGTGTTACGTGAAATTCTTTTTAGCTTTGAGGAAATTCCTACTTCTGTTTTTTGCAAGTATTTGCAAACACCTGGAGTTCAATCAATAATGTTATGAACATGATGGATGCAGTATATGAGCAAACTGTTGCAGCTTTGATTCTTCACTGTCGGAGGGAATATAATATGCGGAGTGTTGTGTGTTGCAGGGCCTGCAGCGGGGACGGCAGCAGCAGCAGGGAGGTGGTGGTGCTGCAAGATAGCAACATCATCACTGCATCAGCTCATCACTGAAAGATGTAACTCAAAGTTACGCAATATCTGAAGAGATTCAGAATGAGTGTCATGTTGTAACAAATAGTGCTTGTGTGTTAATATTTGATATCATGTTTGAGAAGTGGAAACAATTCTGGCGATCTGTTCATACCATAGAGGCATCTATTGCGTAACCCATACACCATTTCAAGGTTTCATATTGCCTTTGATATCAGAGGATATTTGTGACTCACTATATTTTGTTTTGATATGAAAATGATAGTCGTGATTTCTTTATTGAAAACTCAAAAAGCAAAAAGGCATTTGTTGTTGGCATTGCATAGCCAGTTCACATTTGTTTGAACGAAGCGCAAGGTTTCAGCCTATGACTGGCAAACCGACGTGAAATATGAAATCTGGCATGTCATGTTATTGCCTTCAGGCAATGTATTCACTTGTCCATGTTTGCTGTAAAACATTTATGGAGTTTTTGATGAGTTTAGAACGCACTCCTGTTAATCTTTATGTAGGGGCCAGCTCTGAACCTAGACAAGATGTTATGACGTACTTCAAGGTTAATACTCACTCGTATCTCTCGTAAATATACGGTATGGAAAGACTCCTCCAGCAGACACTTATACAACAGGGTAACTAGGATGGTGCCTTAGGCTATGTCATCTCCTGAGGTGACAGTGAATGATACATCTTCGTGATACTTTGATGGACAAGAGATTTTACCGTGACGTACAAGTGATGGTTAGAAACAACTCAGCTGTAGGTGATGTCTGAGATTGTCAACTGTTATTGCTTACATGGTATTAATGGTGAACAGCAACACCATTGATCAGCACACAAGTCTAAATGTGTTTCAAATCTTCGTTTTGCTTGTTATTTTTGTTTTAGTATTTGTTTAAGCTCAAGACAGGTCATACAAATCAGGTTCATTTTTCACGTAGGTGAGACAATGAAATGTGTTTTAGGTTACCTACTCTTGAAAACATCTTATGCCGGTAAATATCAGACCTTGTTTTATGTTAGGCAGTTCCTTTTAATTGAGAACATGGCAACATGAATACCAAATCAAACAGTATTTCTTTACATCAGGTGTTAATTGCCTGTATATAATAATCATCCTCAATGATCCAGGATACTGTCTCCATTCTAAGATAGATACCTTGGTTCCATTTACTGCCTCAGATTCATTTTAATCAAATTCAATTGACACAATGCAGGAATTGTCAAACCAGTCAAATTGCACAGATATGTGAGAGAATTCTATGGGAACTTACTGATAAGACTCATTGAGATGGCCACATCGCCACTTACAATGAGAGAATGGAGATGTGCACTGGATGTTCAAGGTTGATAAGCATGAGCTTGTGTGAAAATGTGGTTCACATTTACAGCTGTGACATGACAATACAATTAATTAGTAATAATAGCAAAATTAAATTATGTGATATAAATATATTCCTCAATTCATCTTAGAGTTATTAATTCTGAGTCACTAATGGGTTTGTAAATTGTATTTCATATTTGCAAGAGAAAAGCGTCCAATGTTTGTGGTACTTTGCTTCAAGGAGTACACATCCAATCTGGAGATATGATTTTTTTCTACCAGTTTCTTGTAATCAAATTGTGACATTTCTTATCTAAGGTTTGACTTAAATTACAATATTCTTGTATATAACATGATAAAGAACAAAGTGAAAACATTCAATTGCTTTTGTTATTTTGTCTTACATAGTTTGTTTGTTTTCTATCCTCACGTACATCAATACACCAGCAATATGATGTGTAACCAATGGAGTCTGGGCCAGACAATACAGTGATTGATGTCATGAGCAATGATCCACACCTTCCTCGTCTGATGGTATTCAGTCAGAATATGATAAATCCCCAGCAGCTTCTGCTTCTAAGTGGTGATTAACGGGTCAGACTTGAGACTGGGTTCCCTGATGCCATATCTTGGGACTTTGCTTGAAATATGAACCACTTGTTAATCTGACTTTTACCTCATTTGTAAAATTTTGGGTAGGTGGATTGGTAAACAGTGCAATCATAATAGCAAATATAAATGGGTTAAAGTCAAGTGTGAGTACAACGCTACCTTGGGCACTATTGTCCACAGTTCTGCTGCACCAATGTTAATACAACCAGGTAAACCAGTCATACTCAACCCTATTGTTTGACACAAGCAGGTAAGCTACAAACCCTGGTCAGGTACAAAAGCATTGCTTTAATACTTTACCCAATACTGATTAAAACATCACGAACAGGCATCCCCAGAAAGCACCCTCATTCCACCTTAAAAATATCCGCACACTCATTCTGTTGCCCATTTGTTCCTACTGCACGTTCATTTCTCTAGGTTTTATATTTTTCAGTTCCTACTCTGACACCCTCGCAGTGATATTGCTGGAATATTGCTAAAATGTTAGACCAAAACTTTGTAAACCAACTGATAAAGAATAAGGCCTCATGAGGTACACCACGTACGCCTAGTCCTGTCAAACATTTAAGCTTCATGTGAATCATCTGTGGACCAGGTAATGCAACATGCTTTGAACAGTAGATGAAGTTATACCCGGTTGTTTTCAGAAGCAAATTCCCAATGCTTCAAATTAACCAAAAAAAGTGGATGAAAATCAAATCAAATTAATATTTTGTGGCATTAGATTTACTACTTTAGCAAAGTTACACACAGAGGAACACGTTATTCTGGTCCCCAGGGGAAGTCAGGAGAAAGGGGTTTAATGTTGCCTTCAAAATATTGTGCATGTGTATGGCTGTTGGTCCGGACTTTTATAGCGAGGTACATGCCGCAGTTTAACATGGATACGCCTCTCACACTGTAAACTGAATTCGTATTTTATTCCCATAATGACAAACAGGGTTACCACAAGTACAATCGTTGAACGTCTTTTGGTATGACGCAGCCCGGGATCGAGCCACCGACCTTCCACTCTACTGGCAGACGCTCCACAAGACCACGGAGGCGGTCGCGGCTGTTTTCAATCCAGGGCACCTGGCAATTTAGAAAATCTTTAACAAAATTCCTGTTATGTCCGATTGGAGAACTCGACTGCCATCTGGTCGATATAAGAATCAATTGCATCACACACGCCCGTGCTACATCTGCTACAACCGTCAGACACTAGGAATCCAAGTCCGACACAACACAGATAGACACGCAGCCATGAGGGTCGTTCTGCTTCATCTCATCATTGCATGTCTTGGATATCATGGTAAACTGGGCAAGTTATTAAGTTACTAACTTTTATATTATCATTTGGAACCGAGCGCTTTAGCGTATAAACAAATGGAACGATATCAAATATCACAGTAGGTTCAGTGTTCACTCTATAGGAATTTTTTCACATGGGCCCTCTATGTGAAAATTTCAAATATACCAGAGGTACACCCACACTTGCCCATACAGCACACTGTTCAAATGCCCTATTGTATTTGAAAATAGATGTATAAACAAGAGGTCTCTACAGTGGAAGGATATCAAATATCACAGTAGGTTCAGTGTTCACTCTATAGGAATTTTCTCACATGGGCCCTTTATGTGAAAATTTCAAATATACCAGAGGTACACCCACACTTGCCCATACAGCACAATGTTCAAATGCCCTATTGTATTTGAAAATAAATGTATAAACAAGAGGTCTCTACAGTGGAAGGATATCAAATATCACAGTAGGTTCAGTGTTCACTCTATAGGCATTTTCTCACATGGGCCCTTTATGTGAAAATTTCAAATATACCAGAGGTACACCCACACTTGCCCATACAGCACAATGTTCAAATGCCCTATTGTATTTGAAAATGTGGGCCTTTTCAAATTTAGAGGCTAAAGGCACAAGGCCCCACACTAAAACTATCCCTGTAGGTTTATCTCCTATTTACCATGGCGACAAGAACGGTAGTCTTTTTGGAACGCGAACTTACACATGGCAACATAGGTCAACGATCTTAGAATGTTCCGAAAAGGGATCAAAGGTAGTTATTTGGTTGGTTTGTTGTTTAATGCCACACTCAGCAATATTCCAGCTTTATAACGGCGCCCCCCATTGAAATATTTTACTCAGTCTAGTTATTTATTGGAAAACGACGCAAAATGTCATTTATTGGAAATCTCCGCGACAAGTATTTCTTGGATATCAACTGGACATCTCTCTTTGCAAGGGTCACAGGTGGCTGTCGAAATGGTGACAAAATGCTGAACTAATTTATTTCTACAACAAATTTTATTAAACAGGAGGCGGTCGTGTAGTCTATGGGTTAAAACGTTAGCTCGTCAGTCCCGGTAAAGCCCATTTCTGGTGTCCCCCGCCGTGATATTGCTGGAATATTTCTAAAAGCGACGTAAAACCATACTCACTCACTCACTTATTAAACAGCAGGAGTTTAGGTTTTGTGAAGTTGTACACATGTGGCAGTTCGTTTAAAATATCTCCCCAGCAGTAATACAAATTACGCATGACTGTCTCTCCACCCCGAACTTCGAAAAAGACTGAACTTGACTAACTTTCCTTACTTCTCGCTGTCCTTGGCTGTTAAACCAGTTGTTCACGGTGTCAGTGCTATTTACAAATTACCCAGAGGACAATCCCTATCTGTAGTTAGGTTCAACACTAACCCGATAATTTACTGAGGATACTGGCACAACCATCGACGCGTAGACCGTCGATAGATCGATGTTTCATACAGACGGAATTTGTGTTAAAAGGCCTAATATAGAAGAGGACCCATGAAGATCCAAGTTAGAATTGATCTTAAGCAACCCATGCTTGCTGTAAGAGGCGACTATGCCTGTCATAATAGGCGACTAACGGGATCGGGTTGTCAGGCTCGCTGATTTGGTTGATGCATGTCATCGTATCCCAATTGCTTAGATCGATGCTCATGATGTCAGTCACCGAATTGTCTGGTTCAGACTCGATTATTTACAGACCGCCGACATATAGCTGGAATACTGCTGAGTGTGGCGTTAAACAAAAACAAAAAACAAAACAACAAAATAATATACTAGAGGTATCAATAGGAAAAAGGCGGAAAATGATGCCTATTCTTAACCAATCAGAATCAAGCTTAAGCATGCTTCAATGTTATGGTAAAATGTCGTGACCTTTTATGACTTATCGGAAAAGTTACATACACTCTGACAATGTATTTTCTGATTCCTGAACTGAATAAGCCCAAATTATCAGGGCTTGAAGTGAGAGTTCATTACCAATAGGGATTCCAGTGCAAACGTCCCCATACAGTACCCTATGCTTGTAAAACATTTTCGCCTTGCTGGGTGAGGTGAAATGGGGTTTAACGTCGCGTCCAAGATTATTGCGCTTATATAGCGACGTGCGTGTACGTGTGTGTGTTTGTGTGGCTGCTTGTACTAGTCCGGACTGATGCCGATTTATAGTGCTAGCTCACTGAGATACCATGCCGTAGTTTAACATGACTACCCCACTCAGACACAGTATACTGACTCCGAGCCGACCAGTCCTTGTTTTAGCCCCTTAATGCCGAGCGCCAGACTGGGTAACAACAAGTACCATTTTTTAACGTCTTTTGGTATGACGCGGCCAAGGATCGAACCCCGGACCTTCCGCTCTCCGGGCGGACGCTCTACCACTAGACCACGGAGGCGGTCTATTGATCGGTAGTCGTACATTGTAAATGGATATAGATCGATTATTTAATGCCTGTAGAAGCTCTATGCATAACTTATATATAATGCAAACCAAATTTGATGCGTGTGACTATTGTGTTTGGTTTAATAAAGTGTTTGTAAATATCTCTCGTTTTCATTAATTTCTTCAGTTGCAAATTGAATGACGTCTCGCGATATTTTATGAATGAAAAAAGTAGTCCCGGTGTGACAGAGGTCACCGTTATCCAATCAAAACGAATAAAACAAGGTCAACCTTGTACGACACACGTGTGACGTACGGATTTAGAATCTTACCACCTGTATCTTCACCACGTGGGTAATAAAGTGTAAAGTCATTCCGACCTCACGTCACAATAAGATTCGAATGAACACAGCAATGTCGTCCGGATGACGTAAACGATACATTGTTGCGCGTGAAGTGAGGTTCGCACTGGTACCCATGCGACCGGCCTGTACGGATATCATGACGTCACAGTGTTTCATATGAAGTCATCTGCTTGTAACGTCATAATTGACACTGATTACATTTGAGTCACAACACCACATTTCATATTTCCCTGACAGTAAGTCTGTACAAGTGGATATATATAGAATACTAAACGAGCTCCCGTGTAATACCAATTTTATGAAACGAGTGAATAGTTGTGGTATCTGACGAGCGAAAGCGAGTCAGATACCACAACTATTCACGAGTTTCATAAAATTGGTTGTACACGGGAGCGAGTTTAGTATTTTATTTATTACTTGCAATTTATAACGTTTTTTGAATTATACTGTTGAGTATGAATAGGCTGACACCTACATGATCCACGACATAGTCCAATTGAGTTTAACAGAATAATACTTCAAACACGTCAAAAGTTGAAACGTATGAATTTCATACCATACAACGGGTCTACCTTTAGAATTCACAAAATTATCGTAGGGCTAAGACTTTCGCATCTCACATACTTTAACTTAGACCAACGACTGTCGTTGCGGTACAATACGATCGCCTTGTGGAACGGGCCTTGCACCTCAAAGTTTTCAATAAC